TATTCCCAAAAGCACTGTTATGTAGGCAGTCTCCACCATTTTCCTAACCCTCCTTAATTATTTTCATAGTAAGTTAAGCAGGAAAATAATGTGATGCACAAGGCAAACTTACAAAGTTTATGTTTTGCTACCTTTCGTTCAGCAATTACCCTTTCAGTACTTTACTTTGGCTGATATATAAAGCCAGCAAGCAGGTGGAAATTGGGTCATAGGAATTTTTCTGGTGCCAGAAAAGCAACTTAATGGAAATTGTTGAGCATAGCTCAATTTTCTAAGGAGTTTTTCTGGTCTCATCTGATTTTAGCATAATATTCTGCATCAGGCATGTTTGAGACAGTTGTTAATTAATATGAATCTATTTAGCTTTCAGCAGCTACTGTCAAATGCAAGCATGCTTCCTACAGATCCATCCACTGGAAATGGGAAATATCTGATTTTAAATGTTAAAGCTTTACTTTTACATTTTTATAGTCTTTAAATTTAAGTATCCTTAATCTAGAAAGAAGCTGAAACTGTAAACCTCTGGTCTGCAAAGGCTCTATTAGGTCAATGTTTACTATGAATAATAGGTACAAACAGGTGTTGAGTAAGACTGACAGATAGGTTGAATGGGTCAATAATACATATAGTCTACTTCTCTGCTTTTTTTTCCCCCTCTCTTCTTCTTCCAAAAAAAGATTACATTGATGATCACTCATGGTCCCATAGAGATTAAGGGAAACATAGCTGTTGATGTTATCCACTGTGAAAACTAGCTTGAAAGCTGTAATTATCTATCACCAGTTCAAATTAACATCTCAATATTTCCCAAATGAGATGCTCTGGCAGTTGTCTTTCTGCACTGGTCAAACCGTTCTCATCTCTTTCTGACTCTGCTGAACATGCTATGTTGGCAAGGAGCAGGGAAAGGAGATCAATCCGAGATGCTCTTGGGAACAGCGTTCTCTCCCTCCTGGAAAGAGTAAGCTTGATAAATCTCAGGATTTTTTTGTTTGGTTGGTTGGTTTTTTGCTTTACTTTTGCTCTACAAACATTCAGTTTGGTTTCTTTTGAAAAATGTTTAGATAAACGGGAAACTTTTTCCTGGTGATACATTTAGGTTCCTACAGATGTCAGGTGATTAAAAGTTTTAGCAGAGTTGTGGACTTCAGTATCTAATTAAACTAAATCTTTTGGTGGGTACTGGCCTTATTCTTTGCACAACCTATAAGACTGTACTTAAACCCAAATTATAGTATTTGTTTATAACTGTTATTTTATAAAATCTCTTTCCTGATGTTTTGCAGAATAATAATTTAAAATCATCAGATAATGATTGTTTCCAGATAAATAGATGCATATTCATCTGCCATGGTTGCCATGGGTTGTGCTTAAGAGATAAATGGTGCACAGCGGAACCTGTAGGTCAAATGGTATGGACTGGCTGGGTAGAACAGGAACTTGCACCCTACCATGAATTTTTTCACCTTTTTAAGAGCTTTGTTTCCAGAGGGAATACATAGTTGGGACAATCCAATATCTCTTGAGCTGTGTCACCCCCCCTCAGACTCCTTTCTGGGAAGAAAGGCGAGGGAATAACGAGGTGTCTTTAATATATTAGAACTTTGCTAGAATTTAGGTCATATTTAGACTTACAACTAATTCTCTATGTCTAAAAGTCTTACCACCTAATGATGCTATGGATATTATCAGCTATGAAGAACAGTCAGAAGTAGGATAATAAAGATGCTAGAATCTGCAGAGAAATAGTTTTATATTAGTCACAAAATAAAGTTATCAAAGTTGACTAAGCGTTCTAAGTCGAGGCCTGCTTAATGCTCTCTTAGAAATGAAAGTGGGTTTGCATGCAAGAGAAATTACTATAAAGCTCTGCCCAATTAAAGCAGGCATTTGTTCTACCTGTACTGTACATTTTTAAAATAGCTTATATAATTGAAAAGCTGAAAAACAATAATCTTCTCAATGTTGTTTGACCCCACATTAGTGCTTTATTATCTTTTGGATAAATTTAATAAAGAACTCATGATTTGCAGATATTAAAAAACAGAACCCTTTATAAAAAAGTAAAGTGCAACTAAGGGGGAAAAATATTAAATAAATTCAGATAAAGAGGGTGAGGAATCTGATGTCCGCAAGATGCTGAAGTCAGAAAGTATATTAAAGAAGGATGGACTAATTTAAATGAGATAAGAAGTGATTCTGGGCCTTTTGGAAAGGGAAGGCATCTGTCAGTCATAAAGCAGCATAGCCAGAAACAATGTAGAAATGCAAGCAATTCCATCACTGCTGCCTTCACTTTAAAAAAAAAAAAAAAAAAAAAAAAAAAAAGAAAGCAACAACAACACCTGGTTTGCAACACAGCAGAATAAGACGGTAGCATGTCTATAAAACAGTTCACTATGCATGATCTTGTCATTACTCTATTCTCTTTGTTTAAAACCTTTCCTTGTTGATTTTTTTTTCCTAATAGAAAAGGTTCTTGTTTATTCTTTTCTGTATTTTTCACAGTTTGTGCTGTCTTCTTTATATTCCTGCATTAGCTGAGCTTCCCTAGTTATTTCAGAGCTTGACAGCAATGATATTGATCCTTAAAAACCCCCAACACTCTAGCTTAAAAGTCTTTTCTATTCCATTCGAATCTGACATATGCCTACGTAATCTCTGTTCTCGTTACTGAATCGGCATGGAAAACCAGTGGGTTGTCAGTGGCTGGAAGACATAACCGAAGTCTAGGTTCCCGTCCAGTTGTTTCAGGAATCGGCAGGAAGTTCTGAAACTGCCGATGGCTGCGCGGCACGCGCCCGCACGCAGCGCTCCAGCATGCTGCTGGAGCCCAGCTTGGAGGAGCCCGCGGCCCGGCGCGGCGGAGAGCGCGGCCCGGCGCGGCGGAGCGCGTGGCCTGGCTTGGTGGAGCCCGGCAAGCAGAGGCCCTAGGGCAGGTGCTGATCTGCCCGGGAACAGCCCCACAACTGCAGGTCGTGGCCTCTGGCTGTCTGTAAGCACCCAGGTTTGTCAGAAGGGATTACTGATGTGTGGGCACATCAAAAAGCTAAAGGTATGCCGTTTGTGTTACTGCCATTGAGGTTATTTTTGTCAGGCCAGTTTATAAAAGGTGTTTCCCCAGAAGTGAAATCTGTAGTATATAAACCTAGTTGAGGTAGCATCTGTCTACCTTTTTTCTTAATTGCTGATAATCAGTCGAAGGGTATTGCAGAAGACTTACAATTCTTGTGTCTTGCCGTTCAGTTTAGGTAAATGATAATTCAGAGTTATGTCAATGGGTTGTAAAGATGTAAGAAGCTTAATTCCCTCAAATAAACAATAGATTCCATAACCTTCTTAAACCAACTTATTTATTGCTCTAATTCATATAAACTGATTTGTAACAGAGATGAAATTTGTTTCTTTTTTGGACATAGCCACATTTACGCAAACAAATCTGTGTTTTATAGCATTTATTTAGTCAGTAGGCTCCTTAACATAGTTGTATCTTGATAGGATTCTACTGCTAAGAAGGATCGAAGTTTTAATCTTAACCCCTTTTTGTGATGCGTTGCTTAAAATTTAATAAGGACACATTGCTGGAAGGTGACATGCAGTACATACACAGTATATAATACCATCTTATGAAAGAATCTATTATAGCTAATCAATTTATTTTAATTAATAATGATTTGTACTGTAACACAGAGCTGTTATTTGAACTAACTGAATGAAAAAGAAATGGAAGTCTTTCATATATTGCAACTATAGTTTGTTACTTTCTCAAGAACATAGGTGATAGGACTACTGTAAGTTATATCCTAATGTTACAGTGTTTTAAGATGAATATATAAAAGATGTCTCTGTAGTAGGTCCATTCCCATCATTTACTTTTGTCATTAGTATAACTGGAATAAAAACTACTTATTTTTCATTTTTCACTTCACTGTTTTTCATTATTTAGTTTTTTAATATGGTGGTAATCAACTCGTCATTAGATGTTGACAACATTCTAAATGTGATTACTGGGCCAACTACACTGTTTTTATATGAGCGCAATATGCTAACATTATTAAATTTTGTGATAATTGAATAAAATCAGTGTTTATTTCTATTTACATTTGTGTAAACTAAATATTTCTTTGTGAGATGAAACTTTATATAATTGCTTTTTAATCTTACGTAGTAATTGTTTGCAGTTGTTGGTTACGACTCACTTTAATTGTCATAGCTAATTAAAAAAACACCTTACAGTTTTTTTACTTTGGAGAACTATAGTAATATTATGTAAGTAGCTGAAATAGTCTCTACGGATTTAGAATATTTTCTAAAATCTCGATGGTCTCTGTGCTTAATTTAAGCATTTTTAAGTTGAGTCAAATTATAGTCAGAGAATTGTTTGAAGGAAGTGTTTGTATTTGCATGGACAGGTACACATGAGACAATGAAAGTTAATTGGCTTCTCACCCTACCTAACTCTGAGCAGAACAATTATTATTTGATGTTTTGCAGTGGAACACCTAGAATTATACCCTAGTTAAAGTAGACATCCAAATTCACTGACACTCATTTTAGTGTCTTCCTCTCTGGAAGAGTATCTGCTCTGCTTTCGCTCTTAATTAGGTTGAGCTGCTTTATTGCAAGCTAAATCTTTCTGCCCTAACAGGACTCTGAAGATGTTTTTAGCAGAAATTAAATGGATAGTCATACCATCTATTCTTAAGTCTTTGCAAGACCTTTAACTATTTGGTGACCAAACTAATTAAACTATTAACTAATTAAATATTAACTAATTAAAACATTTAATCACTAATTAAAATATTGAGAAACAGATGGAAACATTCCAAAAGAAAATTTTTGCTATAAGCTTCAGTTCACCTCAACTGTTAGTCTTGAGATGAAGTATCCTTTTGGTAGTATAAACAAGGCTTAAAAATGAATAGTTTGACTTTATTTTCATTATGTTTTTTTATTATTATTATTTTTATTATTATTTTGTGTACATTCATGATAAATAAGTAGGAGTTCTGGAATTTCTTTTTTCTGTCATCACTTATTCTCTCAATAGAAACAGTCACTCAAAATCCCTAACACTAGCTGATTACTTAGCCCAAAGAAGTACAGTTGGGTAAGTTGTAAAGCTATAATGCAAAATTTTTCAGGGTTTTTAAAGCAAGTAAAAAGAGGGAGGGGGCCCAATGCGTATTCACTGTGGTACAATCTCTAATTACATTTTCAAAAAAATCCCTATTGTATTCATTTTACTCAATAGACTGGACAAAGAAGGTGAAATCTAAGGCTGCACAAAAATCTTGAACTTCCTAATATTTTCATGCCTGCTTTTGACTAGCTGATCTTTAAGATATGTTTTTTAAAAGTTAGTACAGTAGTTGCTGCAGTTGCTTTTGGTAAACAAAAGTCATAATTTGGTGAAAGATTTTCATCTCAGATGTTGCGTTTGCCATCCCGGGGTGCAGGGTTTTTTTTTTTTTCCCCTAAACGAGCACATACAACTGTATCCAAAGGATATCTGCCCTTTGTATTTCACTGAGCTTTGCTTTTCCTCCTTTTTCTCCCTTGAGGTTCAAGCCTCTAATTCAGATTTATACTCAAATAATCTTACTAAAGAAAAAAATTTAAAATGTATGCTGTACTATTCTGAGCACTGTAAGCAGGCCTAGACTGTTTTACTATAACTATATGAATATATGCTTTATATATATTTTAGCTCTTTTTTTTTTCTTAAAGAAAGGGACATAATATTGGGATTTGAAAGAGCATCTCCTACACTGAGAGAAGTACATTTCTTTATATAGCTGGGATCAAAAACACGTTTAAATCTGTAAGCAAGTAAGTAAAGTGCTGTAGAGGAAATGCTTCTAGAGAAAAAAGTATTTTACCAAGATTTTGCAAACAGATGTCTTTTTCCATGCAATTTAAATAATGGTTTGTTTTCTAAAATCTGGATCCCAAGATGTCTATGTTTTGTTTGAGGATAGTCAGATCTTCTCTTTTACTGTGAATCCACTGACAGTCATTGAAATAACTTCTAAAAGAAAGGCAAAGATTTCAAAATCTCTGTATTAGAAGTTGTGATAAGACTAATTATATACATCAATACTTCCTTCATTAACTTTGATATCTAATCTTATAAAATGTTGAATTTTCCGTGAGCTAAGTGACAAGGATTTTGACATATCTTAAAATTTGCTCTAAGTAATAAGTCCATTGTAGATCTCCTAGAGAGGATGGAATGCTCTGGGGTGAGTTACACCAAACTAAAGAGATTCACGCCTAGTCATGTGGCAAAGAGTTAGGAGTGGGTTAAATCTGTACCTGAAATTTTAGCATGTGAGTCACAGTGAGCAGACTGTGCTTCTGTATTAACAAATGTTTTAACTGTATGTCCCAGGTGGAAAAAACTGGCCACTTAGATCTCGCTGAAGAACACTTCTGTAGTTCTCTTTTGACTTTATTTTTTATTGATGTTTTATTGTTTCCTGCATGGAGGGGGAAAAAAAGTATTCACACAGCTTCTTTTATGGTCGTGATTCACCACAGTGGAAATCAATCAAAGCTTGGAAGAATACTGCAGGATGACTTGCCAGTGCTTTGATGTGCATGGCAGTCAAAGCTATTTGGACATAGTTTAACTTGAACATTGTGCTAATGTGTGATTTCCAAAGTTTCTGCTTGTGGTTCTCTGCCCAGAAAATAAGAAGGCAGTATAAGACAATGCAGCCTGATACTTCTATCTTAAGATCACATAATAATGAGGAGGGGCTGAAAATATTAAAAATGCATATGACTCTTCTGAAAAGTGAGAGTCAAATAATACTTATGAGTAAGGAAGTCAAGGACAGAATCAGTTACCTACAATGTTGGGAAAAAGCTGTGAATGCTGTCCGTATCTTCTGGAGACCTCATTCTCTGTACAATCTACAAATGGTTTGAAACTGCGGTTTAGTAGCTATTGTGTAATTTTACAAAGGTCTGAACAACATGCGTTTTCATCAAGAACAAGCATTTATCTCAGGCAGGAAATCTCCCTCTGGTGTTTCCAGATAAAGAAATGAATAATAACTCAAATTTTGGCAAATTTATTTGACTAGTGAATGACACGCTGAAGCAATAAAGAGCCATTTTTGAAGTATAATTGCATAGAGTTTTTGCTAAAATCATCATAACTATGCTGATTTTTATTAAGGGTGAAGACTGGACAACGGACCTGTGATTTTCCAAGTTGAGATTCTGAGAAGAAACACAGGTGTGTCACAGCCCTGTTAATGTTCCATTAGCTGGAAGCTGACTGGATTGCTTTGTTTCACGTTTATCTCACTAAGCCCATATACCTTTATGCTTTGCTTCATCTGAGTTGGAGACAGAAGAAGGTTTCCCTCTGGTTTACTTTTTTGTCCGGGTTTCACTCTGGTTTCTTTACAGGTATTGTAAAAATTCCATAAAATCGATGACTCCTTGCATTACCTCGCACAAAATATCATACAGATGAGAAAGCACTAAACACACAGTATGTACTTCCCCTCCTCAGTTCTGAACATCATTTTGGGCTTAGTCTGTGCCCTCTGCGCCATCCATTTCTGTACATAACTTTTCTAAATTACATTGCATGCATGTCTGTGTCTGTATTCTGAAGTTAGTTTTCTTCTCACTTGGCTGGCCCACGGTAAGGAAATCATGCCTCTCTGTTCCTCTTCCCTGCGCAAGTCTTCTGTCAATCTGTGATTCACGGCATTTCCCAAAGCTGTGAGTTCTGTAGTTTTTGGGGTCTGGTCGTAACATGTGATCTTGCTTTCAGCTTTTGGGGAAATTCCACAGCTCCAAAACATGGCCTTGCTGGAAGAGTTTGGGTGAATTGATTGCTGTCTGGCTCAGGCACTTCGTTGTCCTAATTTTTTCCCTCTTGAGTAGGAGCCACTAGGGTGGGACATCTCCCACAGTCCCATGGCTGAGACACGTATGACTCAGCCCTGACAGCATATGGTTGACTTCACATCCTCTGAGGTATTTAATGATACAGCAATTTCATAACCGCAATGGGGATTCATGTTTTGTACATAGATAGGTCTCCCACATTGTGACATGTGCATAGTTTCAAATGTATTTTCTTAACAGTTTGAGTATTTTTCTTATGAGCTGTACTGGTGGCAGTTTACATTTCACACAGTGCTGTTTACTTGAGTGCTTCTTATATACAGACTATGTAAACAGGTATCAGAGTGGACTACAATATGAAAAATGAGAATTGACACACCACATACTATAAAAGGGGTTAGTTACAAAGGCAGCTGCTTTATACAAATCATAAAGAGATGCAGGTAGTACTTCTCTGAGTAGAACCTCACATTATATATGAATCAGGATCACAAGAAACACTGATGCAACAAAAGCCAATTCCATAATTTTTCCCCCAATTTCTTATAAACTATTCAGACATACTGACTGACATACATAAGGCAAACTGATAAGAAGGCTATAAAGGTATAGTCATAACATTTTCTATAATCTATCTCAAACTCATTTTCTGGTTGTTGTTTATTGGACTGCATGGTATTAAAATAATCAGCGTATACAAAGCTTTATGAGGGACTGTATACAGTTCTCAGAAGGCAAAGTGGCTCAGGTCTGACAACCTAACTGGCTTCTGTGGTGAACTGTCAGGTTCTGTGGAGGAGAAGAGAGCAGTGGATATTAATTACCTTCACTTCACCAAGTGAATGCTTTAAAATCTGACTGGCAGCCAGTTTTAAGTGGCAGTTCACGGTGATCAGTATAGGGCTGCTTCTTTTTAACATCTGCAGCAATCTGAACAGTGAGGTGCGATGAAGCATCAACAAGTTCGTAAATGAGGTCAAACTGAAGAGGTGTGGTGAATGCACAGAAGGGCAGGCCTGGCATTCACACAGACCTTGACAAGCTGAAGGAATGGGCTGACAGGAGCGTAACGAAATCCAACAAATACAAACGTAAAGTCTTGCACCTGGGTGGAATAATCTTAAGAAATGGAAGAGCCAGACTGACTGGCTAGGCGTCAGCTCTGCAGAAAAGGACTGGGCATCCCAGTAGAAAACAAGTAGAACCTGAGTCAGCAGTGTGCCCTTGCAGCAATGAGCACTAACTACATACCAGACTGCGTTAGCAAGAGTTTTGCCAACTGACTGGTTAAGTAATTATTCATCTCTCACCAGCACCTGTGAGACTGCATCTGGACTACTATGTCCAGTTTTTGTACCCCCAGAGAGACAAACAAACTGGTGAGGGACCAGCAGAGGACCACCAAGATGATTCCCCCGCTGAGGGAACAGAGTTGGTTCAACCTGAAGAAGGCTGGGGTGGGTGGAATCTAAATTTTACCAGATAACCCGCAGAGCAACCTGCTCTAACTTAAAAGTTAGTCAAATGTTGAGCAGGAGGTTGGATTAGAGGCTTTCAGTGGTCCGTTTCAAATTAAATTCTATAATTTTAAAGTATTATTTTAGTAGTTAAAAAAAAATCACATTTAGCACATCATAGCCGCACAAAGCCTTGTTGATTATTTCTTGATACATTAAGAATAATTTATTTCTGTATGCTATATTTGCTGCTTTTTCATGACTCACGGTAATGAGACTGAGTCTTATTTGATAATACTTTGTAGTTGTATTAATAATCCAGCCACATAAAAGACCAAAGACTTAGAAGCATAGTTTTGGCTTTTGTCACCCCTTAACCCCAAATGTCTCTTTTTTCTGCTACAATTTAAAGACAGAAATAACATCATCCATATTTTTTGATGTGCATACAGTAAACTTTCTGTAAAAGCATTAGTGCTACATCACTTCTGCTTGGTTTTGTGGTACTCTCAGCGTGCAGTTTGCTTATCTGGCTAAACTAATCTGAGAGCTACTCCTGACGAGAACTGTCTTCTTGACCTCCAGGTTCTTGCCCCTCTCCTATGATAGTTCAGGGAACTAATCTGGCAGAAGATGATTTTCCTTTTTTGTAAGGATAATCTTTTGTTTGGTTCACTCACTGAACTTACTGTAGAGGGTCAGAGAAGCACTGATACCGGTTCACAAGGTAGGAGGTGGAAACTTGTGGCCAGAGGCAAGGGAAACCTATTATGATATGAATACCACCTGGTCAACATATTGGCTTAGCTTCAACAGCAAACCTCAAAACCTCACTTTCAGTATCATACTCACTGTTTTCAAATCAAATTCTTTACTTGCGTTTCTCCTGACTGATGTACATATGAACTCGTCAGTTAAAGCTCATATAGTTAAAAACTTTTCAGATAGCAAATGATTTACTAGGTTTCAAAAACTGAAGAATGCTAAGTAATGTACAGTAGAGCATTTAGAAACTTAGTAAGAGGAAATTCTAAAAGCGTTCTAATTTTACACAGGTCAATGTTGTGGTATTTCTGCTTGTAATCCCATAACGTTAAGAGTATTTCTTGCATATGAAGAATACAATTAACAGTAAAAGAAATTTTAAGCCTCAGATTGTGTAGGATTAATGGCACCTTGTAAAGTCTCACCATTTCAATATTCTAAATAAGTATTGCTTGCTGAAAATTATGTTGCTTCACTCAATATCCAGGTGCAATAAAGTATGGGATTTAGTCTGGCTAATTCTGAATACTATAGCAATCCTTTACAAAAATAGCATTTGTGCCATGAAAACCAAATAATCAAAGGCAGTGATGAATGCCCTTGCCATTTCTGCAGGATGCTTTAGTTAAGTTTTGAAGATTCATTTATTTAAAAAGAAACCGTGAAACTTGGAGAACAAACTTTGACCCACTCTTTATTTGTAGAATGATTTACATTAATAATACATTAACTATCACAAATAAGAGAACTTAAAACAGAAATGTTTTCTGATTATAGTGTATAAACATGATAAACAATTTTAATTTAAAATTAGGCAAGGGGACAATGTGCTATATTGTCCTCATTAAAAAACAAAGATCTGGCAACTTTTTCCTTTGAAATGCTGGAATGACCCAAAGGCTTGGAAGAGAGTTTTGATGTTGGCAAGAAAGTGGCCTGTCTGTTGAGCATATGCTTTTTGTTATGTGCATGAAAATCTACATATTTAACCAAGTTTTAACCCTTTCAGATTTAACTCCTGCTATGATCTCTGCTTGCGAGGTTGCAACAGAAAAATTTTTGAGAATTCCATTGCCTACTTTCTCCCATAGCCCATCTCTGCCAACCGCTCCGCAGCTGTTGGGTATGTTCCCTCTCCTGAGAGGCCTTAACACAACTGGACTGCAGGTACCTTCCAACATAGACCTAGTGGCATAGCAAATTCAGTCATCTTTAACTGTTGTTGAATGTGGTTCAGCCTATCCCAGCTGGCTCAGGAAGTCTATTTTACTTGCTGGGACTTGGGGATGGTAAAGAATTAGTTTTAAGATGTTTTTTCTTTTACTATCACAGCTGTTTCTGAAGTGTTTGACCATGGCTGTAGAGCCCTAGTAGATTAATTTCTTGACAAGTCGCCTAAAGAGTTTACTGCATCTGTCTGCTCAACTACTCAATTGGCAGCGCCTGTCCCATAACAGGGCAGCAGAACCGAAGGAATGTTGGCTTTGCAGTCATTGCAGTGCACAGCTCTGCATGTTAAAATTTAACAAATAGACAGCAGTTTAATTTCACATGCTCAGCAGGGAACTGTGGCAGTTTTTTCCCCTCAATTTTCGTTCTAAGGAATTAGCATAAAATGTTATGTACCTAAGCTGTGAATAGAGCTAGTATGAAAGCAGTACAGTGTGTAGAAGGCTGGCCTTATTCAATCTAACCAGCAGTTAATGGTTGAAAGGTATTTGCAGATACGTAGCCTTCTCACCTGCTTTTAAGAGAGTTATGAGACGTAAGAGTTGTATCTGACTATGATGGTTTAAGGACCTTAATCTGTCAATGGGATCCTTCAAAGCCACTGAACTGCACAAGTTCTGAACTTTCTTTTTATCTGTAAGTCACAAATTTTTCTTTACTGTATCCGTTTTACCTGTGAATCACCTCACATGAGTTACAGTAGGGTAGCTATATAAATGAATTATTTTCAAAGCTTTAGCATTGATTCTGCTCTCTATAATTCCTGTCCACTGCTTGTATGTTATTGCAAAATCATACTTAGTGCTTATGTAATGTAGGATTTCCGTAAGAATCCACGCGTTTGAAAAACATTATTTCAAATAGAAGTAATTCACTGTGAACTTCTGCTTAATGTTGAACTTCCTCAGGACCTAATCATCTCTAATAATTAACACTTTCTGCAACTATTTATTGATGACTACTCTTTTTAAATATTGGGTTTCTCCCTGCAAAATAGCTGAGCAATTTTGGGGTTTACATTTTAAACTGAGAGCTGAGAGCTGGGGTTTACATTTTAAACTGAGAGTCTATATTTCAGACAAAAGAATATACAGTCGGTTGAGTCTTGAGCAGCAAAATTCTGTCTCAAAAATGCACATATATACACACACAAAGTTACTTGTGTAATCTGCAAATAGAGGTCAACTCTCACTTTGTCATGTCACCACTATCTGTTAGATAATAGATAAAATTAGTGCAAATGACTGTCCGAAATACTGAGTAGAGAATCTTAGTTTTACTTCTGGTTTGCACAGAAATGAATGAATATACAGAATGCCATAAAGGAGAGAATAAGGCCCTAGAAAAATTGTCCTTTTTAATTCCAGATACTTTTGTTTTACGCTTTCATTTTTATTGACATAAATACAATATTTAAAATTAAATAATCTCAATTTAAACAACTGCTTTATATTAATTGTGTTTATCTCCTGAGTATTTTGAATCTTTCTAAAGCTTATGCCATAGAAAAATGACCTCTGTAAGGTATTATTTTTCTTACTGCTGATTGATAATAATAATGGCAAACTCACTGAGGAACCTCTGGGATTCTAGCATGCAGCTCAGTATTTTGCTGTGTGCTAAGAAGTCTTTTCAGTTCCTACCAGTCTCTGGAAAACACTATTTTCTAGTTGCTCCAAGTGTTCCAGGTAGCTCACTTGCTGGTAAGGTGTTCCAGCGCCATGATTTGTAGATTTGTTGCATCCTTTGCACTTTGCAGCTCCCAATGCCTGTTGGATTCACCTTTTTTTAAACCCAGTAGAGGGTGTTGCTAGTTATGGTATGGTGGGTCTTGGTAGCGTTAAGTTCTGCTTAAGATTTGCTTTTCCAGCAAAGATTCTAGCCATTCATTTTAAACGTTGGATGTACAATACTTGCACAGATTTCTGCACTGTTCAAATAAGTGCATTGTCTTACCTAACTTGCCGTCAGGTCTTTGAAAGAGTCCTCGTCTGAGGGTCGCAGGGAAACATTTGAGAGCAAAAGCGTTACTCCACCACCTGTTACTGCAGCAGATATCTTACAAAATTGAGATGATTGAGCCAGATAGCAATACTAGCAGCCACTAGATTTCTTGCAGTCATGAAGAAAGTCTGGAGGAAATGTAGCTCTAGAGAAAAGAATAGAAATATATTTACTTCAGCTTACTTCGCTACTTAAAAAACTAATTGATATAGACTTATCTAGGAAAATCAAAGTCAATTTCTGCAAAATCTAAAATTATTGTGTATGTAAAGTGTTTGATTATACTTACGCTTTTTTCCTTGTATCTTCTTTCTCTTTTTCTTGGAAGATTTCTGTGGTCTTATTTCTTTCAGTTCTCGCAGTAGCTACAGCCAAACTTGGGTCTAAAATTTTTCCCTGACTTAAGCTGGGGTCTAAAAAACCCATTTTTATTATGTTCTGTATTTCTACCGCAATAAAAATATAACTTTGAGTAGGTACATTTCTGATCTGGAACAGAATCTGGCTTTGATACTCTGCTCTAACCAAAGTTGTTATGACTTTGTTGTTGATTTCAGTGAGTAAGATTCCAGGCCAGCTAATCTTCTGAAAAACAGTAGATTGATTATGCTTGTCCAAAACCTGTTGCTTTTTATTTTTGTTTGTTTCTTGGAATGCACTACTTACTGTCTGGCTTTATGTGTTTCCTACCTGAATGCCATCAACTGTTTCACCTTCCTCATACAATGCATTTATTGAAAATAAGCCTTCTTGGTCAGCTTCTGTTGGATTTAATTTGAACCTGGTTTCAGTCATTTCATATGAATTCCACCTCATTTAGAAACCTGGAGATCAGGCTTCTCTATCCATATGTTGATGGAAGCAAATTTCATTACCCTTCTCGTTTAAAACTTTGAACTGTGGAAGCCTTGCTGCATTTTTTTGCAGTCTCTAATGTGTGTCTTAAAATGTGAACTTTAATTTTAAGAGAATTCCTGCAAGTAAGCTATTCAATAAGCTGAATGTTCATATTACAGGTACATAATTAGATTCTTTATTTCATGTTCAACAGTTTCATCCACAATCTGCAGGATGATACTTTTGTTTTCTAACATATCCTTGCACTTCGGGAGTACATTAAGTAGCGTTTAGCTGTTGACGTTTTGTGGGTCTTTTTGCAGTTTGGATTGTGCAGGTATTTTGTCTACAAATCTTTTTGAAGAGATAGAGGATCGGTTTAATTTTTCCCCATAATTTTTGTAATTTATGAAATATTCAGTCTTTGCTTTTTGTTTGCTTCTCTGCTTCCTCCTGCCTTGCATTCCATTTAGAGATGTTCACGCTCTTCTTTATTTTCTCCACAAGTCTATTATCATGTACAAACAGCAGTACGAAATAACTTGAGTTCTGTGACAGTGGTATTACAGTTGAGTACTGAGAGAAGCTACCATCTGTATACTGATTTGTAGCACCTATTTGAAATACTTACATGCGATTGTTCTAAAGACCATGATTCCATCACTGAACTATGCTCACAGGTGGCAAATCAGCACTATAGTTAACATTGCTATAGCAAAGTTCGCTCCAGGCCCATTCGCCCTGCATAATGGGTAGCAAGAGATCTCACTATACCAGAAAAAACATTAACCCCAGAAAGAGGCAGATGCAGACTGGTAGAGATATTAATTCATTGCAATATGGTACCCTTGGAAACACTGCTTTCTTTCCTCTTTTTTTCTTCTAGATTAGGGAAAATTGAAAATGTTACAGAACTGTTGATTAGCTTCTTCTAGCTGGTATTCCACTACATTTATTTTACTTCATTCCTAACCCTCTAACTCCTTGTTACATCTTCTTTTCCATATATTCTCTCTCTCAAAACTACTCTTAAGAACTTAATTTTGGAAAGTATTCCTTGAGGTTTTTTTGTATAAGTTCTTTTTTCTTTCACCTATTAAAACAATAGTCTTATATTTTATGATCTTTGCAGTATCCTTCAAAATTACAAAACTGTTTACAGGCTTTCTTGCTTCAAATTCTGCTGAATCCCAACTGTACCATGAAGTATGGTAAAGATAGCACTTCCCACTTTCTTTATGAAGTTTCAAGAGTTTTAGTTGTATGTGACAGGATTCTCATTATTATTTCACAAATTTCATCCATTTTAGCATACATATAAAACTGAGATTTTGCAAAATGGCTATTGTTCCCTTGAGATGTGCAAAACATTTTTTTTTTATATTCCCATGGGAGATTGCAGTTGAGAATGCTTAACACCTTGAAGGTCTTACACTTAAAAAGGATGGATAGTCACCAGAGTCAATGTTTTTGAAATTACAGAAGATTAAGGAAAGGCATCTTCTCCAGTTTGCTGCTTTTCCCTTTAATTATCTTGAATAATCTTTTGGTTAAAACAACTCTTCAGTAACAATACTTTTCCTGAAAATGACAAGATAAATTTATAAGTTAAAAACATGGAAAATATTAATGCATAAAAAATTACTGAAAAAGAAATGTTTATATTGTCATTTACAACAATTGATTCTTATGGCCAATATATTAGAAATATCTAAATGAGAAGAAGAGCAGGAAATGAAAGGGGGCTTCTATGCTCTGTTTTGTTTGTTTTTTTTTAATATTGCATTCAGCAAGTAATTATTATTCCATGAGTAGGCCCCTAGTCCACAAACTCCACAATATTCACACAGCTTGGTATATATTCAGATAGGACTAAACCATTTTTTAATGCTTATGGTAATTGATGGTAGTGAGGAAAAAAGTTGAATTTTAAATATGCAGAAAATGTAAAGCAGTATTTTCAACACAGTGGAAAAAGAAACCTACAGACAATCTCATCCACTGGTGGCATAAAGCACTGATTTATAAGTGAATAAACGTAGTATAAATGTTGAATTTCATTACTTCTATTTTCCACTACAGACAGAGTGTTTGCTTTTTTGCATGCATGGGAATGGAAGTGTATGAATTAAAAAAAAAAAAAAAGTTTTTGCAGTTATTTAACAGACTGCCTTCTGCTTCTTGCAGCCCACAGTTTGAGACAGTCTGATGGAAAAAGTTAGATTTTAACCCGCTGGCTGAATTTCATTGAGAACAGAGAGAATAAGAGAAATCGCAGTTACAACATAATTTATCTTGATAACCAGGGAGACTGATTCACTTATCACATTCCCATAGTGCAAATATTTGTGCTACTAGGTTTTCTGGGTCCTTATCCTAGTCAGAATCTTTGATAGCTTTTCTCTAGACCTTTCTAACACAGATTTCTTCTGACCTTTTCCTAGACAGGTAGTGAAGAATATGGAAGAACTGCAAAGATCTTTTTTCTATGTTTACCTACCAGTTCTCCTCATTGTCTTTACCTACTGCATTATAAATGCACACAGTGTTACACAGCATACGTAAAGCAACAGCAAATAGCATAGAGTTAAACAAAGAGTTTTAGAAAGCAGAGGTCCTACTAGCGGGGCATTATCTTGTGCACAGTTTGGGAATATAAAATAAGAATGAAAAGCCTCGATTAAAACTTCTTAAGCTTATCCAAGATTTCTGGGAGTGTTTAATCTATTCAGTCCAGGTGTGTTATTTTAAATAATTAGTAGCTACTTAAGAGACCTTGCCAAAGTTGGTCATTTCACCAATAATGAAACAAACAAGCGAATCTGTATCTTTTGTGTTAACACAGATTAAAACTTGTACTAGATATATTTCAGTTATACAGTTTTCAGAAAGTGGAAAAGGTATCAAAAAGCTGAGTTAACATGTATGTTTATTTTTAATATGAAAATAATTTCAGAATTAAAAATCAACGTCTGTACGGTTGAGTGGAGAAAGGAAAAGATAAAGATATTAGGGATAGTTTTAGAGTTATCTTGGATATATCCATCCAGCTCTTCTCCACAGCATTGTAATCTCCTACATATATGCTATGTCCTTGAAAAATCATATTCGTCCCATACAAGTAGAGCACTTGCTTTACGAAGGACACATTTCTCCAGTAGTTCATAACTGCTACTAACATAGATTCTGACATACCTTACTGGGTTTTTCTGACTGTGTTCAGCATAAAGCAGCAGTAAGTGTGCATAGTAGTTATTTTAATTCAATATATTCCCAAGGATCACAATGAAATTACAAATTCTCACTAGTACAGAAAAAGTGCCATGGCAGAAGCACAATGCTTTTCCTCAGGCTTCCCAGGAAATACTTTGCCATTATTTCAGCACTGAAAAGCCAACAATCAGATTATACATACTGGTTTTACCAAGAAACTAGGTAGGAAAGGCGATCAGTGAGTGTCATGAATGATCTCCTTATCAAATTCAGGTTTGCTACTCAAAACTGCTATTGCAAACTCCAGATTGCTAAATTCTATTTTAGCAGTTTGGAATTTGCCCCCTTCATCCTGTAAAGCCAGATGAGAGCGAATGGTCTGTCGTGTTTGTGAATCTCCTTTCTTTTGATTCCTTTCTTCCAGAGAATTTAATTCCTTTCTTTTGGAGAATCTTTCTTTAATTCCTACTAATATAATTGAACCAAATATCATATTTTCATAATAATATTGAAATAGTGTAATGGAGTAGAGAGACAGTGACAATAACAGCTTTAAAAAACTCAGACTAAAATTGTGAGAGATGCCTGGTAATTATTCACTATCAGCTTGATATAATATCAGAGGTGCAGCATACAGAAACTGTAGCAGGAACATAGAACATGTTATAGAAAGACAGAGCTGATTTTAACAGAACATATGTAGAACTTATCACCTTATATATTCATTGCAATGCGCCTCCCAGCTACCATGAAGAATCAAAAGGAAAAAAAATATTTTTTCAAAATGAAAGGGTGGAATTTTCCTCTTAAAACGATGAAAAGTACAGTAATAATAATAATCAAATAGCAGACTTGTTGAGGCAAACACATTGGAATCATTCAGAAAAATAACTGCATGACATCCTGTGTGAAAGATAGAACCAAAAAAGGGCAAGTTTTATAGGCCAAGTAGCTTCTATTCATTCCCAAAGAATTTCTCCTACTCTCACAAGAGTTGGGAGAGAGAAAGAAATAAAACCTTCATCCTTGGAAGCTCACGAATTATAAATAAGTTGTCCCAGACAGGAAAGGTCAAATAAAAAAAAAAAAACAAAGGAAGACATGTTTCCAATCAGGAATGCTTAATGAGAAATACTGACCTGCTGCTCAAAAAAATCAGAGCTGAAAGTTTCTCCCAGTAATCCAAAGAAGTCCTGGAGCCACTGTGAATCACTGCATGCTCTTGTCATCTTACATTTTTCGCAGACTGCTGGCTGCGTATAAAAATATAATTTTTGACACGTTTCCCTCCCCTCTTCCCCCCATCTTGACCTCTTAGTGCAACAGGAAGAGTTTTGCACTCTGTGAACTCAGCAAAGAACTTGCTTGGCACTAGCAAATTTCACAAAGATGAGCTGCTGCACAGACTGATGTTCTTAGGCAAATAATTCTGTTGTCTAAACTAACCCACATAGTTTAGAAGGAAATGAAGCATTTGGGTTCAGAATACTTCCAGGACTAAGGTACTACATAATTTTAGTTTTTGTGTCCTTTGACACATTCAGACTACTTGGAAATAAATGCTGTGCTAAACATAATGCAGTAAATCTTGCTGTGGTTGTCTGACATTACCACCCCTACTTTTCTGCCCCAGGCTGCTATCACACAGCAGAAAAGAGCAAGTGCCTGCCTCAGCCATTTCAGGTCACTCTCTGGCATGGTAGTGTAGATCAAGAGTAAAAAGGGCGTCTGTCTTCAAGCGCTGGTAACAAGAGAGTTCATGTGCTGTATTGCACAGGCTGATGGCTGCTGCCTGTTGCAGCCTCTGTAGTCGACATACTCATGTCTTGAGCTCCTGTTCAACATACAGGCAATTAGTATTCAGCATGCCCGGTCCCAGCCTCTTCCTCTCCCAGTTGTTTGGTAAGGCAGAGCCTTCCCCTCTTCTAGTTCTCTGTCTGTTTTCTTTTCTTCTCAGCTATCAGAAACTGCATTGGAAGCTTGCTGTACAAAATGTACAACGCTGGGTCTATAGGCTCTCAAAAAAGCACTTTTCAGCCCCAGTCTTCATGGAGCAGTCCTACGCTGCGCACAGAGTTGGGCCTCAACCAAGAGCTCAGACTTTTTAGTTAAGAAACCAAAGGCCTCAGAGAATTCTGATTACCTTTAAGTAACCTCCAATTACATTATCACTACTGGATTTACTGACCTCGAGGTAAGTTTTCCATTTTGCTGGCTTTGCCAGGGAAATGATAACCTGCAACAGACACCACACCTTGTTTGCTCCATGAACTGGAATCAGAGCCTGTGAATTTGATTATGCTAAAAAATAGACTTCATATTAAAAGCTGTTGGATGATATTTTTGGTTACAAATATGGGATGTTTTTTCTATTTTATGAAATGCCACCAGAATAGATAGATGTCATAAAATAATGTACATATTTTTATTAATATTTTCACTATGACTTTTGTCTAGAAGATTATTGACAGTTTCCCACTGTGTGCTTATTCTGTAATAGTAATGCTTGGAATATAAAGAAAAATCCATTTATCTTTCTTTTCCTGTCTCTTTTATTACTACTTTGTGGCTTTCTGTAGTTCAAGGGCATCTGTCTCTGGGCAGATACCTGCTACCTGCCTCTTCATTGTTTCTGCATTTCTTATGGCCAGTTGCCATTACTGCACCTTCCCTCCAGCTGGTAGCAATTTTCACTTTGTGTAGTTCAATCCACTTTCTTTATTAGAAATCTTTTTTGTCCTTGAACATATGCAATATGCATAGAAACAAGTATATTATCAAATTAACATTAAAAAAAAAATCCTTGGAACTGATATTTCTGGGTATGTGATTAAACTCATCCACTTGCTTAGTCACAGCATTCTGCTTTTATCAAACAGAAGAAAGGAAGTTACTCTTGTGGAGAAGAAAATAGGACAGCAGAAACATTAATGTCAAAAACGAGTATACAAAAGCAGAACGATAGTATCAATAGGGAAACAGCTGTATTACATGAAAGATAAAAAGGAATGAGTTTAAATAACTGCAGTACTAGAAGATTAGGATAGTTGGTCTAGCTGAGTACCTTTTGGTGCACATGTATATGTAATCATAATCATAGTGTTAAATTAATTTGAAGCTGCCTTCACAAGGTAGTGTATCTTAAAATAGCCTCATTGTCACACAGGACTGTTATTTCCAAGAATAACACTTAGGGCTTCAGAGGCATACTGGTAATTAAAAGTAGAATTGCTGGCTTTCTGGTATATCGATTTTGATCAACTTCATTAATTAAAAAAGGATTTAGAGAAAGCATTTCAGATACTCTTAGCTTTGTAATTTAAAGTCAAACAACAGTAGTCTCGAAGCTCTAAGATACTAGAAAGGAAGTACCATTCTTATAGGAACTCACCTAGACCATGAAAATCATTTTTTCAGGACGACACAGGATTTTAAAGCACCAGACCAAACCAGGCTAAAAATGTGGCTGTAGGTATGGGCAGTGCCATTTAAATATTCCATGATACTATCATCAGCAAGTAACATGAGATTTCTAAATTGCTATGCACAAGTCTAGTGCTGTGGAAAACATGGTATTGCCGCTGCTGGTAATTTTCAAGTTGTTTCTTTATGTGCATATGTGCATTTAGAATCACAGCTATGCTGTGGTATTTATATATCATAGGTGTTTCATGTGTATATTCCTAGAAGAAGAAGCTTTTACAATGAAGTTAAGGAACACTTTTAACTAATAATAGTGAATGAATAACATGAGTCTGCAGTTTTCTGATAAGACAAGATGCAATCTTCATGTGATTATTGTGAAAGGGTAAAGTGAGATTACACTATCCATTTTTGGGTGAAAATGCAAGCTTAACGAGCAAACATTAATTTAAATACATCTTTTTGATTTCCTATGGTTGGCTTAAAAACAGAATCTCTGTAGTTGTAGCAGTGCTGTAGCCACGATGGTCCTCAATGCTGCAAGATGCACCATATAATACGGATTGGCCTACTGTCCATAGGCTTACATTTGGTGTGTAGTTGTCCACCGTTCCGCAGGATGAATTTTAGGGAACTGCTAATTTTAAAAAAAGTATAAACTATGGAACTATGAACTAGGTGTATTCAGACACACATCCCTCATGGACCCGTTCCATGGAAATTTCTCTGCTGAGAGCCTGTTATTCTGATCCTTGCTGTACTCACCAAAAGTGTTAATCTTTTCTGTGAAAATTTTCTCACTTCACCCTTTCAAAAGTTGGCAGTTTAATCTCAGTTACTTACTCCAGAGACCCTCAAGAGTCAATAGGAAGAAATAGGCATTTCCAGAAGGCAATTTTTCTGACTTGCCTTAAATGCCCTTGTTGGATTGAGATGTATCATTTCTCAAGCTGCCTGTTTCTTTCCACAGGCTGCACAAAGAGTCCACAAATTACTTCAGATTTAGACATCCTACTTTTTTTTTTGCCTACATACTGCAAACAAATCCCACCTGAATCTTGGTAGAAATGGTCCTGATTCTTTTGCCTTATTTGAATAAACTGATGTAAAATATTGAAAAAATCTTCCAGTTAATATTTTACAACGGCAGAATTCTTTTCAGAGAGTCCACATGAAATACACATATGTGGTAGTGATTAAAAAAGAAGACCGTTTCTTATGCCAGAAAGAATTCCTTATATTTGTTTCTGGAATTCACTCTAAAAATGTAATTGAACAGCCTGCAGGTTTATTTAGTAAATTGTCATCTAAATTTGTTGAATAAAGAAGTGTTTATTGTAACAGTCCAAAAAGCGTTATAAATGTAATAGCTAATCCCTCTAATTCAGCTCCAAAAAATTGTGTCCCCATATGACGTTCTGTTAATTGATGCATATTCATCTTTATAGATAGATTAAGTGCATTTGTCACACTTAACAGGAGATTAAGGAGAATAACTGAGTTTAAAATCTAATCGTTAGGGATAATCATGAAGTTGTAGGTAGCGCGTAAGAAACCACCAAGAGTCACAAGACCTTTTTTTCATGCATAGGTAAAGATCTGTACTAAGGGTTTAGCTTTTGAAAACTTATGTTTTAGATTATTTTAATTACCATCACTTTAGAGCCTGGTTACCACAATGATAAAATTATGCATTCAGGATAAATAGAGGAATATTCATTGCTTGGCATTGTTAGTTCATTTTAGATGGCATGCACTATTAAAACTCAGAGCAAAGCACTGGAATGTGGCTCAAGTTATATGTTTTCTTTCTTCCAACAGAGATAAATTAAAACAAATCCTAAACCAAACTCTAGAAGTCTCAAGCTCCTGCTGATGTGTGAGCTGGGTCAGGTTCAGCATTTCACAATCAATGCGGTTAAGCGGTTGAACTAACCTATACACTACATGTGGCATGTCTTTTCTTATAAACTAATGCTTTTGAGCTGAGTATATAAAAAGCACCTCTTACTGCTGCATTCTGAACAGTGTATGTGGTATACAGAAAAAAAAAAACCATAGAGGAAAGGCACTTTTAGTTTGAATAGTCTGTAGGTCCAAGTTAGAAACAAATCCAAAACTTTCTGGAAAAAACAATGAGCTCTAACTCATTAGACTAATCATGTTAGACTACAATGGGTAGTACATAACATGACTTACAGAAAGCAGATTTAAAATGATTCACACCCTAAAAATACTTGGTGTGGCCTTCATTCTCAAGGACAATTTCACCTGTTGCAAAGCTTTTCTGACGTCCAGATGGTTCTGAATTATCAGAACACATCCTAGAAGCCAAATTCTCGAGACTGCTGGTTTTAAGCAGTGTGCAGGTATAAAGGTCTTTCTTAACTTCTATCCACGGAATAGAAGAGCTTTTACAAACCATGGTACAGGCTTATTAGATAGGAAGTTAGACATGCATTGATACAGTATTTTAAGTTTTCTGTGTTCATTTTTTTTCTTAATCGTTTTGAAAATTACTGATATGAACAGCAATTTTTTTAATATTGATGCCATTAATAGTGTACTTTTTATTTAAAAGGAACTTTAAAAATACTTATTAGTAATAGGACAATAAGAAATAGAATGTCGTACAGGTGATGGTCAAAGAGAAAGGAGACAATGGAACACAAAGAAGTTATAGAAATTGATCTGGTGGAGCTATAAAGGGTACTCATGCATGTTAAACATGAGATCAAGAAGAAAAAAGTAGACAAATCCATTTTAAAAGCTCTTGGTGGAGTTAGATGTCTCTTTCCACTGCAAACCACAAAGTATGAGTGAATTTTCCTGTAACTGAACTGCAAATATTTCTCTTATTCAGGAATCCAGCTTACCTCTTTTTCACTAGGTATAAGTAAGTCAAAGAAAAATATAAAAAGTTGTAGAACAAACTAAGAAAAAATACTTGCCATTTTCTAAAAGATAAGTCAGAGATGAGTAACAAGATGGGTTTGTGAAGAACAAACGGTGGTAAGCAAGTCTAATTTCCTTCTATGGTAGGATAGCAGCTCTTGTGAATGAGGGAGATGCAGTAATTTTAATAAGACTTTTGAAAATATCTCAAACGCCATTCTCAGAAACTAGGTAGGGAAATACAACTGACTGTGTGCCCGGTTGAATTTTTCCAGTAATGGGATAGAAACTCAGTGTAAACTGGGAGGATATCTCAGTGAGAAAAGATGCTGCTTATTGGCAACATGTTGCCTCTGTGAAACGTAATTTTTCAAAGATACCTCTCTCAAGGTGCTCTGACACCTGTCTTCTGGCTGTTCTTTAAGCTATTTAACATTCTCTCATGAATGTTTATGGTACTCTTGCCATCGATTTCTGACCTATGCTGTAGATTGCTCTATTATAAAACGGTATATTATAGTGGTGGTTGAAAAGTACTGAGAAAATTGATTAAGAACGGAGTGGGGCTTTCTAGAGGTCTCTAAAATCTTATACTGTTTATGTTCCTTGGTTTCCTGAGTGTTAGAATAGGATGTTAGAATATAATTACTAAATTTGCACTGTGACAAGATTTAGAGGAGTTCCAACACGCTGAAAGGCAGCATTAGAATTTAGAATATTCTTCTTATTCAGTAAGCAGTTCTGAAAAATACAAGATGCACAGCAATGTGCTGGCCAAACAAGCTGAGGGAGTACCTACTTTCCCTTCCTGCTGTTCATTCCCACTCTCATGCAGCCTCTTTTGCTGTGCTGTGTTGACATAACTGTCTATGGGCTAGCAAGGAGCTGAACCAGGGGACTCATCCACCTGAAAAATAACATAGCAAAAAGCCAAAACTGACCAAAAATTAAAGCCTGTAAACAGAAGGCAGGAAAAATTGTGTGGAGAGTTTGGGGAACATTTAAGGCAGAACTACCACCAAAGAGATTTATAGAACCATAAAACTGTATGCCCACAGAGTGCAGTTTTGGGAAATGTATTTATTGTGGCATTCATCCCGGGAGCTTTCCCACTAATGTTCTAGACCAAGTGTTTCATCCTAAGGTCAGAATGGGGGACTGGCTGATTAAGTAATGAGACATAACATTACGGATAATTTATTTGCTACTGGTATAGCAAGTGGAACTGCTCAGCAGTGGAAACCGAAGGAATTGCATTTGGAGTCAGGGCTGACAGCTTGAGAAATAACAGGTGATCAAGTTAGAATGAATCAGCACCAACAGCTAACTGCTCATTCTCTGCTAAACAAACTGTCAAAAAGGCAAAGCTTGGCTCAGAAGTGTAAGAATTAATCAGCTCACGTCAGGAGTAAAAGCAGTGATTGTTAATGCAGCACCTAGGCATATTCACGTCCATTGATATCCATCACTTGCTCATCAGTAGTGGCGAGCAGGACAAATTCAAGCCAGGAAAGTAAGAGTGGCCTGGCTCAGCTTCTGATTTTGTTTTAGAGGCAGATTAGTATCCGAGTTTTCTCTCTGGTGAATAACTGATCTGATTCTTGTCAACTAAACAAGCCAAAACAGAAGAAAAACAAAACAATCCACCACCTCCAAATGAAGCTGCATGTAGGGGTCAGCAATGCTCAGGTATTCACTCCGGAGCGAATCTGTCAGCTGTAAACCTGCACGTTCTGACAGCTGCTGTTGCTATACTGGGGAAAGAGGATCAAAGAGAAAAAAGGAGAGAACAACACCGATAACATTTTTTTTCTTCTGGAATCTTCAAGCTTTTTTCTTGTGTGAGAAGACCAAAAAAAATCCTTATGAAAGGCTGAATAGTACTTCCTCATCCCTCTGCAAACACATACAGAGTTTATTTTAATGATTCACAAACCACATTTCATCCCACCTAACTGTAGGCACTAGCATGTTAATTTGGAGCGTTGTCATCTAAAGCTCTCATATGGTCATTGAAGAGTTACTTTCAGCAGAAGTAACTTTTCAGAATTTAGCCTTCCCAAAATCTGAGTTGCTCTCTGAAGGCGACTGTCCCTCTGGCTGGAGTCATTCATTGGCTGGATCTGATGCTATCTCATTGGTGACTATTATTTTTGGCTGTGAAACTATGTTTATTTTCTAGATCCCTCTGTCTTACACTTTGCATCTAGGTCTAAAAATTAGTTTAGTATTGTACTAAGAACTAAGAATTTTTTTTTCTAAAACAGATCAATAGCTTCCATTTTCCTGAAGAGTAAAATTGGAAATAGTGGAGCTTCATGGTCATTAATATTATACACTGGGAT